GCATTAAGTGTTGCTAACCTAATTTTGCGAAGCTTCTTCTCCAATAACATTGTACTGCAAACTAGGGCATACAAAACCTTTGCCGGACCAATTCTTGAATACAGCTCATCTGCCTGGAATCCAGACTGTATATTGGACATTAATATGATTGAACGGGTCCAGAGGTATTTTGCGAGAAGTGTCCTCCACTCCTCTGCTCACAACAGAATCCCTTATGTCATCAGGCTTGAAATGTTGGGCTTGGACAACCTAGAACTACGCTGCCTGCCATCTGACCTAAGCGTAGTACACAAAATTGTCTGCTACAATGTCCTACCTGTCAATGACTTCTTCAGCTTCAACCTCAATAATACACGAGCAAACAATAGATACAAACTCAAGGTAAACCACTCTAAACTCGATTGCAGAAAATATGACTTCAGCAACAGAGTGGTCAACGCCAGAAATGCACTACCTGACTCTGCTGTTACATCCTCAAACCCCCACAACTTCAACCTCAAACTGTCTACAGTGGACCTCACCCCATTCCTAATAGGTCCCCCTAATAGGGGATGTGCATAAGCGCCTACCGTCCATGTCCTAATGTCCCCATTTACTTGTTCCCATTCCTTGTTCATACCCATGTTTATACTTATACCTGTTATCTAGTACATGTTCAATAAATTACATAAATTAAATAAATAAAAATAAGTTGTGTGGCAGAGAAGTTGAGCTGTTGATGTTGTGCCTTGGGGGAGGAGCCCTTGGTGCTCTCTGAGTTTGTTTGTTTTCTTGCAGACATTTCATTACCCAACTAGGTAACATCATCAGCTCTCAAGGGAACAAACCCCACTTCCTTCTAGCACTGATGAGGTTACTTAGCTGGGTAACAAAATGTCAGCAAGAAAATAACCAGGCTCAGAGAGCACCAAGGACCCCAGCTCAGTTCAACCCTGACCTACAAATATTCTCTTCTATCAGTATTCTGCTTGGACTAGAAACTTATTAATTAAAGTAGCAACGATCTTGTTTGCTTAGCTGGCTGCAGAGTGGTTTCTAATGGTCTTTGCTCTTTATTCACTTTTTACTTTTCCTCTCTTTACTCTGGGGCCTGAGAAAACACAAAACTATCTATTACCTTTGCATCTTCTCAGCAATCAATGGTGGGCTTCCTAAGCAAGCTCTTTGTTATCATTTTGTCTGAATATTTAAGTTCCACACACTTTTCACTTCCTGTATGTAATTCTGCAGCTTTTCCTTTCAGTTAGCAACGTTAAAATGTCATTTTTCCAGTTTTGATCCCAGCTGTCATCAACTTCCAGTCCTTCCATTCTCATAATGTATGTTTTGTACAAATTAGACAGATTAGGATCACAGTTTGCGCTTTTAATCCGCTCCTTTCCTTGTTCTGCTCTTATTTTCTTTCACTTTTAAGTGATTCCCCCATATCTCTCTCTCTCTCCGCCCGTCCCCCCCATCTAGCTCTCTTTCTCTCTCTTTTGGAAAAAAGATATTGTAGAGATCTGGGAGCTACACCCATGTAGTTTTCTGGACAGAATTATTGAAATCAATGAATTAATCATTTGGATTTCTAAGACCACCCTACTTAATAGCAACACTGGGCTTTCTATTTGCCAAGGTAGGTTTCTGGGCTTCCCACATTATGGATCCAGTTATTTGCAGCCCCACAATTAGCACATTATTGTGCTAAATAGTTTAATGAAAAGAAGGACTAGGGGTGCCTTGATAGCATTGCTCCAATATCTCAGGGGCTGCCACAAAGAGGAGAGGGGGTGGGGTGGGGGTCAAGCCATTCTCCAAAGCACCAGAAGGCAACACAAGAAACAATGGATGGAAACTAATCAAGGAGAGAAGCAACCGAGAACTAAGGAGAAATTTTCTGACAGTGAGAACAATTAACCAGTGGAGCAGCTTGCCTCCAGAAGTTTCTTTATGGAAAGTTATTCACAACAACAGCATAAATCAAAAGGAAAAGGGGAAAAAAGAGATAAAGTCCAGCAGGGATTAAAAGAAATCAGATTTCAGCCAATTTTTAAAGCTAAAAAGCAAAATAAAACAGAAGATTCAAAAAGTGAAGTTAAAACCTAGCCATCATTAAGAAAACAAACTGCCGAGAGGAAGATGGATGACCAGTGACTACTTTCAAAGGGAACTGGAATCTTCATGGCTCCCCTTCCCAGGTGGCTTCATGGCCGCCTGAAAGCCATCTTGGATCATTCCTAAGTGCTCCCATTCAAATCCAGGAAGCAGCAAAAAAATATTTGTCTGAAATGGTATAGCGTTTCCTGCTTGATCAGGGGGTTGGAGTAAAAGACCTCCAAGATCCCTTCCAGCTCTGTTATTCCCTTATTCTGAGGCTCTGTGTTAGCTGCTGCCCTCAATGTTGACAACAGAGATAATCCTCAAAGCTTGGGAAATGTAGAGCAAACAATGATTGTTTAGGCACAATGGTGTCATCCTCAAAACAAACAAAGGGAGAAAGTAACACCGGATCAAGCATTATCAGGATATTGCAATTATATTGAAGAGTTAGGCAATAAGATTTTCTAGAATGGGTGTATAGACAGTGTAGTAGTACTCCAACAACTGCTGAACCAAGATCATCCCTTCCCACTGATATTTTGACTAAGGTTTCCAGATTCTCCCTCCCCCACTGCTAAATCATTCTTCATAAACTTACAACTTCCTCAGATGTAGGAGAAGTAATGGGAGAATCTGGGGGTGGAGTGAAAAGGGGAATCAGCCTAGAATCATTATGTAGTCACAAGTGAACTAAGTCCAACTCTATTTGATTGTCATTGTGCCTTATCTAACTCTAACCAGGTGTCCATCATTAGTTGATAAGATTCCTGCACACAGGTTTTTAGCAAAGTGGCTTGGTGGGTGTGGCAGGGGAAGGATACTGCAAAATCTCCATTCCCACCCCACTCTGGGGCCAGCCAGAAGTGGTATTTGCCGGTTCTGCGAATTTCTGGTTCTCCAAATTTCTGGTACCGGTTCTCCACAACCTGTCAGAACCTGCTGAATACCACCTACATCCCTAACTGAACTGCTGTCAGAATTAGCATCCATCCAGCCTGGTTTAGGCACAAAATCAGATCTCCAGCAACATTCACTCTCTAAAGAAGCAAACTTGTCCAAGCAAAGCCTAGAGCAGTTCTAATAGGGCTACACCTTTAAGCCTTATTAGGATCCCTGTCAGATTTTGCTTCTGCTGTGCCTGGACAGGCTGACAGTAATATTGGGTTTTGGATGGTAAATATTAATTCAAAATAAACATAGAACAAGAAACAAGAATGTTTGTTTCAAAAACCCAGGAAGCAGCCAACGCCAAGCGAACTCATCCTTCCCATTAAAATATATGGCTTTAAATTTGATTTATGATTTGCTGCCAGTGAAAAGTTATACAGCAGGAAACGGCAGCGTGGAAGTTGGCTGAAAGCAGAGAGATAAAATTGCTCTTGAGGCCGGTGAGCTGGATTTTAGTTTGCAGAGAAACTCCAGAGAAAACTCAGATGAATGAACAGGTCCAGTTAAGTAGAGTTTCTGCCGAATAAAGCATGCCATTCAAGCAAACAAACTCAGAAAACAAAATCAGGAGGCATTATTTATCTTAGTGACTAACCATGGAATTGTATCATGACATAAGAAAGTGCTGAAGAAGGGAACATAACCTGATCACTTGCAATCACTAAGCTTAGAGAATAACAGAGTTGGAAGGGACCTTGAAGATCTTCTAGTCCAGGGGTCCCCAACTCCTAGTCTGTGGACTGGCAATGGCATGTCAGAATCTGGGCCACCCAAACAAGCAAAGCGAATGTGAATTTGAACAAACTCCAGGAGACAGTGGAGGACGTTGTGGTCCATGATGTCAGACCTGCAAGCAATCTTTTCTTTTTAGGTTTCAGGCCTGCTACACTTTCTACTGTCTACTTTCTACTGTGGGAAAATGGGAGTGGGGAATTATGTGGAGTTGGGTGATGTGTAGCCATAATAACATTCTTCTTAGAAAGTCAAGGTCATCTTTGTCTCTGCACCTGGCTGGCACTGGATGGGTGGGCTCGTGTCTTTGTGGCAGTGAAAGGTTGGACCATGTGATGAACTTGTGGGTGTTTGGGGCAGGATCTTGAACTTTCAATTAGGTGGGAAAACCTGGAAGCTTTCAGATTTGAGGTTTCCCAGGTGTGCCAACATGGCTCTTTTAATAAAGTGGAACTTTGAAGAATCTCTTGCCTCGGATTCTTATTTTATTTTGGATGCTATTTGGAACCCTGCCACATGGGGCCACAAAGAGTCAGACCCAACCTAGCGGCTGAACAACAACAGACAAGCTTTTAATGAGATCTAGATATGCATCATAGTTACACTAATTAAAATAGCAGCTGCATTTCACATCCAATTCCTAGTACACGTTTGAGAGCTGGGAACATGTTGGATTCCACCTTCCATTTACCCAGAGCCATTCTGGTATTAGTAATCAGGTTCATCCTGTATGATTCAAGGGAGATGACTGTCTCAGACCTCCTTAATGAGTTAAATATAGACCAGATGATGTGTGTTGTGTGTTCCTCACGAGAATCAAAGATCTGGGACCCAGCCAGAAGGCGGATACACATTTGGAGTGATAAAGCACATGTTTTGCGGAGGTCCCAGGAAGGTTTGCCCAACTTCCCTATGTGATTTACATTGTAGGTGATGTGAAACTGTCAGAAACCACTTTCTCTTAGAGTATTCCTTTGTAACTGAAAAATTAACAGCCTATTTGCCAACAGGAACATTTCCCCCTGTAATTAAGAAATATGAAACAAGAATACGGTAGCTCTCTTAGCATGAGTGCAGCTGAGCTGAGCTGATTATTCCACCAAACCTGTTGCTAGGCGTAACATATCCCTTTAAGGAATGCCGTAAACCTGTTAACAAGGAGCATTCAATTTAAGCAGGCATGGTTATGCAAGTTGGCTTTGTTTCAGTTTAGATAATATGTGGGTACCTAGTGAATAATGTCAAGGCAAGTACACAGGTACTATAAATGCAGAAATTTCTAACAAACCCAAACTTTTTTCTTTCCTTTGTTCTACTTATAAAACCAAAACTCCTGTTATAACAGAATAACAGAGTTGGAAGAGATCTTGAAGTTCTTCTAGTCCAACCCGCTGCTCAAGCAGGAGATCTATATCATTTCAGACAAATGGTTGTCCAATCTCTTCTTTAAAACCTCCAGTGATGGAGCAGACCTAACCATAGTTTCAACTGGTAAACTGTGACCATCCTAGACCAAGCCTAGTCCAAAAACACTAGAGAATTGCTGGAAGCCTGACACTCAGGCATCAACAGGCACATAGAGAAAGCAACATGTACATACATTTCAAAAGAAAGACTCAAAAGGCCAAAAATGAAACAAATCAAGCTCAAGGGAGGTACAAATACCACTCTATAAAGCTTTAGTAAGATCACACTTAAAATACTGCATCCAGTTTTGGTCACCACACTATAAAAAATATGTTGAGTGCAGAGAGAGCAACCAGGATGATTAGGGGCAGGGGAGAGTTCCGGCTGCCATTACTACTGGTTCGGTGCCCGAAAAATTTTGCATTGAAAAAAAGTGACTTATGACAATTTCGACACAACTGTTGCAGCATCCTTGTGGTTGTGTGATCAAAATGTGGATGCTTGGAAACTGACCCATATTTATGACGGTTGCAGTGCCCCAGAGTCGTGCAATCCCCCTTTTGTGACCTTCTGACAAGCCAAGTCAAGAAGGGAGCCAGATTCACTTAACAACTGTGTTACTCAGTTAACAACTGCAGTGATTCACTGAGCAACTCTGGCAAGAAAAGTCACAAAATAGGGCAAAACTCACTTAACAACAGTGTCGCTTAGCAACATAAATTTTGAGTTCAGTTGTGGTCGTACGTCAAGGTGTTCCTGTGTCTATTTTTGTGAACAGGGTAAATGCTATCTTTCCAATTGAACAGCATAATTGCTTTGAACTAAAATCTGGACTTCAGTAATATTAAAATCACATTAAACTCTACTTTTACGTGTTAGGTCTCACCACATTTTAGTACCAAGTTTAGATAAACAGAGTTGTTTGCAAAGCAAGAACAAACAAAGAGAAAGATTTGCTAACAGGAACAGTTATTCAGCAATGATGTTTTATTGTGTTGCACTGTATGCATAGCTCTCTAGGGTTAGATTTTAGGCCATGGGTAACTACAAGTTGGCATTGCTTTCTTTCTGGATGATGGGGAATGAATGTCATGTTTGCAGGTTGTTAAGGAAACAGACCACGACAAAGATTGCTGGGAATTCTCTGCTTAATACTGTTTTGCCAAAACTGAAAGGAGTCTGGGTTTTAAAAATAAACACGCCAAAGCTAACAATCTCTGCCAAACCTTTGAGGGGCAGGAAAGAACAGAATCTAAGTTTGGTAGCCGACCCTACATTTCTCTTCCGAGCCACAATTCATGCACCCACAAGAAACGGGGAGAAGACGTGCTCCTGCATTTAAAAACCTCTGGAGCATTTGGGCTGATGCAGAGCATCCAGTGGTGGGATTCAAACATTTTTACTACTGGTCCTGTGGGNGGTATTAGTATCTCACTTGATCTTGATTGTATCCCTCTATTAATGCAGTTTAGGATTGCATTGGCTTTTTTGGCTGTTGCCGCACACTATTGGCTTATATTTAATTGTTTGTCCACTAAGACTCCAAGATCCCTCTCACAGTTACTGCTATTCAGCCTGGTTTCTCCCAATCTAAATTGGCCTAGTTGCCACGTCACCTTGTGTAGCACAGAGAATTATGCTGGCTGCGGCCTTTGCACACTAAAATTCTCAAACATATTGAGAAGATTTGCTGGTTTGCATCAAATTGCATCATGTCTGCAACTTCCATATTCTTCAGGCCTATTGTGATCCAATTAACTGCTTTCAGAAAGTTGCACTAATAATTATTTCCATGCCTACCTGTGTATAATAACAAGGGAAACCCTCTTATAAGGGTACTGTGGCTTACTGAACGCAGTGAATCGCACCTCCTGTTTATTCTGCTCCCACCCCTCTTCTCTGCACCTGTGGCACCATTAATGGTCCCATCTTGTTCCTTGGGATATGGATTTGCGGGCTTTGCATTTCCAAATCTCAAATTTAATATTAGCAGTCCAGGCATGGGAGGCCTTTAGACAGGCTATAAGTACAATCAACAACTTCATAGGTAATACTGAGTTGCAAACAGTGGTGAGATTCAAATAATTTAACAACCGATTCTCTGCCTTAATGATTTCTTCCAACAACCAGTTCACTTAACTGCTCAGAAAGTTAACAAACGGTTCTCCCGAAGTGGTGTGAACGGGCTGAATCCCACCACTGGTTGTAAACACTGGTTGTATGGGCAGTCGTACGTTTTTGAGGCGGATCAGTTGGAATCGTAAACAACGTACAAAAGAGCATTTAAAAAGTGACGATTCTGATTCTATAGGTTGCATGGCAAGGAATTTGCTGTATCTTTTTGAAGAGCTGAAAATGCTGAGCTCTTCGTATTTTCATTGGACTGTCCAACTTGATGTAAGAACTTTCTGGTTAAATAGGGATTTTCTTCAGTTTGAACTTGGCTGCTATCGATGTCATGCAGGCATGTCATGAGCCGAGGTGGCGCAGTGGTTAAATGCAGCACTGCAGGCTACTNGAGGCAGAGATGAGGCCAGGGCTGTCTGACAGTTATCAGCTGCCTTCAGAGTTGGACATCAGTGGGGCAGAAGAACAGCTGGAGCCTGTTCCCAGTGTGCGCATGCGCAGAGCTGCCAGGAGAAGGGAACAGCTAAGGAACAAGGCCGACTTCGGAGTAAAGCTACAGGTAGACAGTGAATGGCCCCTCCAATGGGGAATAAAAGATGAGTAAAAGGGGAGGGGAGTTTGCAGGGGACAATTGGTTCAATCCATTAGGGTGAAGATCTGTTCCTGACTTCTTGCCAAGTAATTGCTGCTACAGAGTGACATTTGGAAGATATGGGCCTGGCAACTCTCCAAGCCTGATAAAGCTCTGTAGTTGTGAAATATCTTGGAAGACTGTTGGCCAGGACTTTGCTGGAGAGGAATTCCCTTTAACCTAAATAAAAGGGGTTTTATCGGGACGAGGAGTCGGCTTCATGCTTTTGCGAAGCCAAGTCAGAACAGGTTCCCAAGATCAGTAAATAGTTGGGGGCAATATGCTGACATTATAAACCACCCAGAGAGAGCTGTAAAGCACTATGAAGTGTCATATACATCTAAGTACTATTACTATTCACTAAATTCCCGGGATTGATATATACTCTTAAAACGTTACATAGGCTGCATGTTACCGGGCTAGAGAACCAGCGCTGAGTATGGTCCCGTTTTGTCGGTAGGAGGTGATGCATTGCATCAAACATGGCAACATAACCAACCAAAACAGAGGTTCAGCACTGATGCTTCTTTTTGGAAGCATCAGAACACCTAGATGTTGGACTCCATGGGGGAAATTGCAACATAACTTTATATAACTTAAATCTAAAAGTATCATAGTTGGGATGTGTGTATGTCTCCTGATATATCAACTTGACATATAACCTGAGCTAAATCTAGTTATTCCACATGTAATGCGGCAGAGGTCTTCAAACTTGGCAACTTTAAGACTTGTGGATTTCCAACTCCCAGAATTCTGCAGCCAGCATAGCTGGCTGGAGAATTCTAAGAATTGAAGTTCACAAGTCTTAAAGTTGCCAAGTTTGGGGAGCCCTATAATACGGTGTCGGTGTGTGTGTGAATCTGTTCTCCTTTCTCCATTTGAGGAAATCTCCACCATCAAATCACTCATTAAGTAAACACAGCGCTGACAACTCCAGTCAAAATACAGCGGGAAAGAATCTGCATGTGTGTAAAAGCCCTGAAGTTGGAAAGTCGGAAAGAATACAAAAAAGGGTATCGGGCCTGGAAACCATCTTTTCCATTGGGCCTTCAGGCCTGCCACATTTAATGCTGTGGGAAAACGGGAGGGGGGAATTATATGGAGTATGGGAGACATATAGTCATAATAACATTCCTTTCTCCAAGAGTCAAGGACATTCTGCTGTGCCCCTTGAGGGGCGTGACTGGGAGGCATCTCCAGTTGAGATGGTGCCTGGTTGGGCCATGTGACGGACATGTGGGTGTTGGGCAGGGGCTTGGACTTTCATTTGGGGTGGGGGAACCTGGAAGCTTTCAAATTCGGGTTTTCCCACAGGTGCCAATATGAGATCTCTAATAAAATGGATCTTTGAGGAAACTCGAGCCTCGGAGTCTTCTTGCGTTGGGGGGTCTCACTTGGAACCAGTGGTGAAATTCAATTTTTTTTACTACCGGTTCTGTGGGCGTGGCTTGGTGAGCATAGCAGGGGAAGGATACTGCAAAATCCCCATTCTGGGGCCAGCCAGAGGTGGTATTTGCCAGTTCTCCAAATACTCAAAATTTCCACTGCCGGTTCTCCAGAACCTGCTGAATTTCACCCCTGCTTGGAACCCTGACAAAGGGTTTTTAAAGAAGGATCCTAAAGAAGCAGCCTCTCTCTCTCTCTCTCTCTCTCTCTCTCTCTCTCTCCCTCTCCCTCTCCCTCTCCCTCTCCCCCTCCTTTTTCTTTTTAAAGAAAAAAGAAAAATAAAACAGCCCAGGGATCACTAATCTTCCTTAGAAGTTATCAAGTGCTGGGTGTCATTGAGGTGGGGGGTGGCAGGTGGAGAGAACTGGAGTGAGGCAAGGAATACTCCGGAGGATGGCATAGTAAACAGAAGCTACCGCAGTGGGAAGGAGGGATTTTCTTATCATCTCCCTGACTCATCTCCAGTGAAGTTTGGGTTGGTTCACCTGCCAGGCTTCCCCCTTGCCTGCAGTGATCCCTGTCCTCCCCCCTAACAGGCTTGTCAATGGACTTTCTTCCTTGATCCCAGCGTTCAACCGCTTTGTTGTTTCCCTCCTCTGTGCCTCTGCAGGAGAGCGGAGCGTTGAGAATATTCAATGCACCTGCTGCCCTGCGCTTGCCACTAAGTATGTGCCCTTGGCACCAGCCGCATCATGATCAACTATCTCCATAGTTACGCTGGCAGGGTTGCTATAGAGACAGCGGGAGAAAGCCAGTGGCAGGCACCCGCTCAAGGTGTATCGCCCAGTCACCATGGTGAACAGTGGCAGGAGAGGGGAAGAATGGGAGGTAATGAGTAATCCCGGGGGGGGGGGGTGTTGATGGAAGCAGAGGCTGGTTAATCTATCAGGTAGTCCAGAGAGAAATCCATGCTGGGACATATAGGGAAGTGGCTTACAGTTCCCCTGCATTTTAGGAAGAAGAGACAGGACATAACCAGCAACAGCTCGGTTTTGAATGCATCCCTTTACAGATTACAGACAGGAAATCCTTATCTCTGAGGGATGAGTGAGAGAGAGTGGTTTCATTTTTTTACAAAGCTTTTTTTTTCCTGATGAAACTAGTCTGTTGTATTACCTAACATTACACATCTAGGTTTGTGCGTATGCATCCTTATGCAGTGTTTAGCATGGAGAACATTCAGAACTGCTGGTCGAATGTTGAACTGATGGTCTAGATTTTGGTGTCTCTCAGTCTACCACTTCCTTCTGCAAAGGTTTAATAGATGAACAGAGTTGTAGGTCATCTAGTCCAACCCCCCGCACCCACCCAAGCGGGAGACCCTATACCATTTCTGACAGATGGAAGTCCAGTCTCTTTTTGAAAGCCTCCAAGGGATGAAGCTCCCACAACCTCTGAAGGCAAAGCTGTTCCATTGGTTGATTGTTCTCACTGTCAGAAATTTTCTCCTTATTTCTAGGTTGAATCTCTCCTTGATCAGTTCCCATCCATTATTCCTTGTCTGGTGTTCAGGTGTCCTTGAAAATAGCCTGCCCCCCTCCTTTCTGTGGCAGCCCCTCAAATATTGGAACATGCTATCATGCCTCCCCTAGTCCTTCTTTTCAGTAGATTAGCCGTGCCCAGTTCCTACAACCATTCTTCATATGTTTTAACCTCCAGTTCCCTAATCATCTTTGTTGCTCTTCTCTGCACTCTTTCTAGAGTCTCCACATCTTTTTTTACAGCGTGGTGACCAAAACTGGATGCCGTATTCTAGGTGTGGTCTTACTAAGACTTTATAGAGCGGTATTAGTATCTCACTTGATCTTGATTGTATCCCTCTATTAATGCAGTTTAGGATTGCATTGGCTTTTTTGGCTGTTGCCGCACACTATTGGCTTATATTTAATTGTTTGTCCACTAAG